ATTAGGATGTTGAAAATATTAATATAATAGGTAGATATATTTCTTGTTGAATATTCCATCTAATATTGAGCACAGTTCTTGAGTAAACTGTCTATGCACGAATAGAGTATTAGACAGATGGTTATAGTCTCGGTAGCTTTAGATTGATAAGGCATTGATCAAGATTAATCAGACTTGGCCTATCAAATAAATATTTTACAACATATTCGGAAATTTGAAATTATATCCAATTCTTAAGTTTTAATGAAAATTCTTGATGTAATATTTAGCAGCAGGTACAGTCAGCTACAGTGAACACTAGAACGCACTAGACTCATGACTGCACATTTCCATTTCATTAAATTCATTTAGACAAAGGCGCAAAGTCGTTGCCCACGTGCCAAGATAAGCGAGACGGAGAGAGACAGCTAGAGAGAGTGAGAGGGAGAGGGGGTGGCAACTTTGTTGGTTGTCGCAGCAACGTGACCCCCCCAGCTACAAGCTCCGCCCCGTGGCATATTTGAAGTGTTATCAGGCGGACGGCATCGTGCATATATTAAGAGTAGATTGGCTCTGGCATTCATGAGCAGCTAATAGAAATGTCTGGCAGTTAATTTAGCGTCATGAAGTCCTGGCCAACAACCAGAAAGAAAGGAAGAAGTCAGATATGAAAGCAACTTTGGTTGCTATAGAGAACTCAGGCTGTAGGTGGGGGGCGGGCGAGTGAAAAGAATGCAGTTTGTAGTTAATTGATTATATAATCTGTACAAGTGTAGAAGTGTATAAAATTGTTTTAGAGTCTGTTCTTCATTTCGTTTTTTCTGATTTTCTTCATGGACGACAATAAGTAAGAGGATCGCTGATCTTCCTTCTCAAATATGGCGATGTTCGACTCCAAGTCTCTTACCATATCGCGTAATTTCGAGACATAAATTCGTTTCTCGTCTACGTGCTCGACGGTCTTGTCGAAATCGTGTAGAAGTGCGGTCCTATAGAGCAGTCCGCTCTTCTCTTGCAGTTGCGCCTTCTGATCCTTGAGGCGCGAGTGCTCGATCTTCAGAGCGAGCAACTGGTCGCGCAGCTCACTCTGTCTCTCCAACTTTTCATCCAGATCTTCCCTGTGATTCATTAACGTGGCCGAAATCATGCTCGTCTTCTCACGAATGAAGGCCAGCTGATGAACGTGCTTGGTGCAGCGATCGCGCATTCGATTCAACTCGTAATTCCGTTCTATTAAAGGCATATTTAGATAGAGATAGAGAGAGGGAGACAGAGCTTTGAAATACCTTCAACTTTTGTGCCCAGCGCTGTGACATCACGTTGAGCATTCAAGAACTGATCCATGGTCAACTCCGGCGTAATCTGATCAAATTGACGTTTGCGCTGAGGGGAAAGAAAGAAGAACAGTTAAAAGATCATATAGGAAAGATAGGAGATTGGCTAGAGCATCACACCAAAGATCATATTGGTTATCTGGGACAACGCATAGAATATAGGTCTGATTTAAGATCATCTACAACATATAATATACTAAGTTGATCTAGATGAAATATCAAAAAGAATATCGGTTAGATAATCAGATGAAAGATCATCTATCAGATTGAGGATCATCTAGAGGAACAGATGGATTAGATAAATGATCGGTTCTAAGATCCGAGAGATGAGCTGGTTAATCAGACATACGATAACGATAAGGATAAAGAATATGTCATAAGTCATACAGATAAAACAGTAGATCAAATAGGACGCATAGGGGAGATAGAACATTATAAGTTTATATAGATGAAGCTAGCTAAAATCATCTGGAGCATTAACTGTAGACTCACCTCGATCAGCCTGCCCAGTGTATGCTGCCTGGTGATCAGCCAGAGTCGGCTGTCGCTGACTTCATTGCGTAGGTTTTGCATGCGTCGCAGCTCCTGCTCGACGATGCGGGGCATCACCTCGAAGTCCTTGCGCAGGAGAGTCGTACGAACGCAGTTCTCCAGCGAGTCGACGGAGGTCAGCGCGATCTTGCGCACATAGTTGAGATCCATTGTAACGCTGGCCATGTGCACCACGTACTTCCTCTTCGTGTCGGCTGCCTTCTTCTTCAAGTGATCCAGCACAGTCAGAGCTTCCCTGTGTCGCAAGTACTCCTTTCTCTCCTGCGCGGCGGGCAGGGGATCAAAGCACCTGAGCTGACCGACGCGTCGATAGTAATCGAACATTTTGTTGGTTAAGTCGCTATTGTATTGCTTGGCGCCAAAGCACTCGGATAGCAAGCGATGTATCTCTGCGAGGAGCTTGTGCTTGTCGAGCTTGCTCTGCAGGATCTTGAGAGGATCTACATACTCGGCCGCCTCGACAGCATCGTCGATGAGCCGAAATAGCAAATCGACGCAGACTTGGCGATTGGCGCGCTCGATGCGCAACTGCTCCAGTTCGGTGTCCGATGCGGCTGGAACGACTTTCAGTGTCGTATCCATTTCGATGAGCATTTCCATGGCGTAGTCCGTAGCGTCTACGACCGGAGGGGGCGGTGCTTCATCCTCCAGGGGAAAGGGCCAATCGAACGAGATGCTCGACGAGGAGGACTGCTCGCTTTCCTCTTCAGACTGAGGCTGCGCCTGCTGTTCTTCACCTGCCGGTTCTTCCTCCTTCTCAGACAGACGTGGCTCTCCGCCCATGGGATCCACGACCTTGCCTGTGTCCGTCACAGTAGGCGTTTCCTTCTCTGGCTCTTTTACTTCCACAGGGGCTTCTTCAGCTTCTTCGGTCTCGGACTCGGTCGTTATATCCGACAGACTGGGAAAATAGAAGTTTTGAAAGAAGTCCCCCTTAAAGGACACCGAACAGGCTCGGCGGGAGTAGTCTTCTTCGTCTGAAGACGACTCTACCGGCGACTTATCCTCTCTCTCTTCATCGTCAATCTCGATCACAGCAACAGAATCGCTAACAGCACCAGTGTCGCCAGCATCAGCAGCATCGCCAGCATCGTCAACATCATCAACATCGTCACCCTCCCCTGCACCGCCTTCGGCATCCAACGAGCTTCTGGACTCCCCCATTGCATCCTGCTCGGTCGAGCTTGGTTGTGCTGCAGACTTCTCAGCCGGCTGGGCATTTTCGTCAGCCATATCTTGGAAGTGACTCTTCAATACAAGATTCGCTTGACGCTTCATTTCGCGCTTCTTCTCCCTTTTCTTCTTCTCGAGCTTGGCGCGAGCTTCATCGTCCAGGTCATCTTCGTCGATCTCCACTTCCAGGGTCTGTTCTCCGTCAACCTTCGATGCCTCGCCATCTACAGCCTGGGTTGCTTCCTCCGACGCGATAGTGGTGACATTGTCGCTCCCGCGTCTTAGTTCAGAATCCGGTTCTCCGGTAGTTTCGACCGGAGCCTCTGTATTTTCTTCCATTTCTGCTAAAAGCTACGATTTTGCTTCACAACTACTAGAAATCTTTTTTTTTTTTTGTTTTTTTTTCGTTAGTAAAAATATTGATGCTTTATTTAATGTTTATAGTTGTTTTTCCTGTGCGATGATGTCTGTGTGATATACTCATATATTATGTTAGCTCCAGGACTTCAACCTGACAGGCCAAGTAAAGCCAAAGCAGAGCTTGCTTCAGTTCCAGCTCAACGATTTTCGAGTAATACTCGAGTAGTACAATGTAGTACTAGGCATATTCGCCCTGTAAATAATACATGCGATCAAAGCTATCGTACCATAGGGTAGATACCTTGTAAATATTTGACATGCAGATCGAATAAAGAGTTGTTAATACAATTTATTAGAATTTATCTGAGTACTTCTTGCCTCTCTATGCATTTTAACCAGATAAATGGGAAATAATGAAGTTTTCTTAATGCTAAAGTACTTGTCGCCTACTGACATGAACTTTGACATGTACTTTTGTGTGTTATGTACGCTGATAAATGATGTCCGTTAACGTCATTTGGTCTTGGTATTTTTATCAATTTTCTCAAACTCTGACCAAATGGAATTCTCTCACATTTCTCACAATAAATGCTGACAGACAGCCAAACAGGGCACAAACTACTCTTGATTGACGTCAAGAAACTGTCGTCAGGCAAAGAATATTTGGCATTGAGACTAAGAATAAAAAAATGATTCTTAGTGAGTCGGGGCAACCCTTGAAGGGCAGGAAGTTGCCCCCTCATCTTCGATACAATCTTGGCTCGGCACTGTCTAATGCATTTCATTGTATTACCAACTATACGGTTTTTTAGCGCAGGGCAGTGGGTAGGGGTCGGGGATGGGTTTGGGGTCGGGGTAGGTTGCTGAGCAACCCCTTTTTGCTAGCTGGCGACGACGTCGACACTCCATTAATTGAAGCTCCTGGATTACGGTAAATTGCATTGTCTCTGCTGCGCAGTGGGCGTCGACTGAAAGGGTGCAAAGAGGGAGGAGGAACAGAGAGGGTGGGAGCGAGGGGTGTGGAATGTGGGCTGCGTAGTCAGCGTGGCAGCGCATCAAATTGCGTACAAATCTTTATAATCCCTGATAATTTCGTTAATGGCTTTAATCACTTACGGTGCAGGCAAAGGATTTATAGAGATATTCTAGACAAATTCTGCACGAATTTTCAGTTTCAGTATTTAAAATTTTTCATTTGTGAGTCGAGGGAAAAGTTCGCGCAGCCATTGCAAAATTAAATTGTAGCTCCTCCTATAGCGTATACACTGATAAGGTCACACACACACGCACACTTAGCCTGTGTGCGTGTGTAGATAACTGTTTACCTAACCTCTCATATCTATATACTCGCGCACACCCAATTAGGCAGCTACAATTGTTGCCACCTAGAAACTCAACACAGGCAGAGCGAAACTCAACACACACGCTGGTGTGGGGAGTAGGGGGAAAGCTCAGGCGCAGACTGAAAGCTGCGCTCGCTGTTTGGCGGCAGCTATAAAAGCGCAGGCAGCGCCATTGGCGCCACACACAAACCACAACCGCCACGAGGGGGAGTCGCAGGCAGCACCAAGCGCCAAGCACCAAGCGCCGAGCACGGAGCACGGAGCAGCGGGCAGCGATGGCTTGGAACGGGCGTGCATTCTGGCAACAGCTTTGCCGTCGGAGCAGCACTACAGGAGACGCCAGCAGCAGCAGCGGCAGCGGCTGGAGAAGATGCTCAGTCAAGCAGTTCGCCAGGCCACTGCAGCTGCCAGAGGCCTGGAGCGTGGAGCTGGCCTGTTATCGCAGATATCAGAGGATTTCCTGAACTGCCTCAGTTAAGATTTACTATTAAAAAAAAAAAAATAATAATAATAAATAAATAAATACTGAACCTAAAGAATATCATAGCAACATCATATCAATTCATATCGATCTAATACTATGATAAGCTGACAATATAATATCTATATAGAGGTATATCATAAAATAAGCAGTACCAGTGATTTTAATACAATAATTAATTAATTATTTATCTTAGAGGGATTCACAATTTCAGTTGATGTGTTATCACTCGAATACTTTTGGATTTTTATAATCAGTACAATATTTTTGACTATGATAATAATAATAATAATAATAATAATAATGATAATGATATAGATGTTGCATTTGCTTTAGAAGCTCATTGGCCACATCAAGGAATCAGCAGAGCCCGCAGGGACAATCGAATTCTGAGTACTCCATTCACTAAATCAGAACTCATAGCACGCAGAGCGTAAAGTCTGCGAAAGCAGCTTTTGTGACTCTAGAAACCAAGCCTACGAAGAAAAGAAATAATTATAATCATTACCATCAAAATAACTATAATTGGAGGCAGAGCGTTTTAGACAGGGGCAGAGACATTAACAGTAAAGAGCAGTTTGAAATTTCTCGAAATCATTAAATCGGACTCTGTAATAATGTGGAATTCGATATTCAAGCATGATATGGTATCTATCGCTCTCTCCCACTCTCTATATCTAATATGAATCATTTGAGCCAAATCTTTCTCAACTCATATGTTCTATTAAACCCTCTCTACCTCCCTCTCCGCACTAATTTACATAAATGCTCTACATCAGCCTGCATCAGGTACTCCAGCGGACAAACAAGTAATAAAACCAGCAAAGAGCAAACAATCAGAGCTTATTGAACAACCTTCAAGTCTGGCAAATAGCCCGGGTCTCTGGTCCACCCTAACCCAGGGAGAGAGAGAGAGAGAGAGTGCATATAGAATATAGCGCTTAAAAGCAATCAAAAAACTTTGTTGTACGCGTGCAGGCAGCAAAAATTTGCATATGTCAACAAAAACAGGAGCTGGAAAACAATTTATTTATTGCCGAGGCATTTTACAGGAGAAAAGGAGAAGGGGAGGGGTGAGGCTGAGGATGCTCAGGGAGCAGCTGGAGCAGAAGAGATACATTTGCCTGATGATGTGGTGCGGCTCGTTGGAGCTGGGGCAGGCGATAGGTAAATAGCATAGAATTGAAATGTTAATTACATAGCAGAGAGAGAGGGTGGGGGAGAGAAAAGTAGTGGTAGAGGCAGGGGCAGAGGAAGAGGGCGGCATCTGGCAAACAGTTTAAAATACAGTTCGAGCGAGCTGCTTAGACACTGGCTAAGCAAACAGTGAACTGGATTTGTTTGCTCAGCTCTTAATCAGCAGGCAGTTTTTATTGTTAGCCGCTGGCCAAGTTTCGCTAGCTGGAGGCTAAGGCAAACAAATGTGAACTTTATTAACAATTGAGCTGTAGCTAAGGGTTTGTGGCCAGGGAAGTCAGTCTAGCTCTGATCTCGCTCCCTCCCCATTCACTTGATGCTGATGAGGTGTGAATGGCGAATGCCACCGCATTTTGTTTTATGCCACACAATGCGGCAGCCGAGGCACTCGAGGTTAATTGAATTTCTGCTGTGCGACGTCCCGTCTCGTCCTGTTGGTCCTGGCACTGAATTGGAAAACGTTTTCATGGCTGCCTCGCCCTTAAGCTGGTTAAGCAAACTCATAATAGACCCAAAATGCAGTCATCATCATTTAGCGCGTAATTAATTGAATCTGACTTTAATTGAAATGTTTTTAGCCTATTCAATTTGATTCTACGGCTATAGGTAGAGGCAGGTGGTAAGAGTCGCCTACTATAGCTATAGCTATATGCTTTTAGTGCGGCATTGATCTGTAAACAGTTTTATTTTGATAATTTTTTAACTTATAAAATAAGTTTGGATAGCGCCTTTAATTGACAAATAAATAATTAATAAATTTTAATTTTTAATTATTTTAAAATATTTATGA